AATAATAATAAATAATTCTTTAAAGATCTTTCGCTAGGCATTTATTTTATTTTACTATAACTATTAAAATCTGAGGATTGCTTAATTTCCGCTAATATCATTGCTTATCAATTCTATTTAGTATATGAATTTCCGTTTTCATCTAACTTTATCAATAGAATTGAACAATTTGATTACCAAGCTACACACTCTCTAGATAGTGCGGGTCTGTAGTCCAAATAGACAGCGAATGAGTCGAAAACGTGACTGAAGGCTGATATGCTGTCTAGTACTATAAAGCGATTATTTTTACTGTTAAGCCAATTAGTCCGACTTACTGTGGGTGGGGAAAGAGGGAGAGAGACGAGAAACCCAGCTTTTTCTTTCGTTCATTTTTTTTTTTTTCAAGTCAATGACTTTAACTGTTTGGCCTTTGACTGCGTCTCGTTGTCTCGTCTCCCCATTTAGCAGTTGTTGCACCCATCACATCATCAAATGCAAACTACTTCAATTCAAATTGATAATAAATGAAATTCGCTGATAAATGAATGCGACATTTGTTGGCATAATAAATTTACGCGAAATTTAATTAAATTTACGGCTGCATTGGAGCGTCGCCAAATAGATAGCACCAAAGTGCTTATCGCGATTAGGTAATAGAGCCGATAGAGCTCGCGGAATGATCCATCATAATGGAGCTATCTTTTCTAGGTTTTATTTACCCTTTTGCAGTTGGTTACAAATTTACTCGCAAATTCTCTAACAATTTATATAAAAGAACAACAATCAAAAGAGTGATCTACTGCTCGATACCCTTACTTATATATAAATATACATATTTTGAGACTGATTTTATAATTTTAAATTAGTTTTTAATTTAAATTGTTTCGACAAAATAAAGTTTTTTTTTTTATTATTAATTTACAAAATGTTTTCAGATAGGATAAAACAGTCAGCTATATTTATATTTATATTTATTTCCATATTTTACCTAGACAACCTCATAGCGTCAAAATGAATTTGCCCTACATAACTTCACAGCATTGATTAAGCAGAAGAAACTTAATTAATTCCCCACTATATTACTTGAATTCCTTTTGAAAATCGAATGGGTAAGGTAAAACTTTCACTATGATGATCTACTACACATCAAGAAAATTTTAGGGTATTAGCCTTAGCAGCCTAACCTATGAAAACGTCAGAGTATTAGTATTAGAGCATTATAGCCCGACCAAGCTTCTACCCTTTGAAATTAAATTGTTTTAATATTTAATCAATGCTTATTTGCTCCCTATCATACACCGTATCAGCATCAAAGGTAAACTAAAGATAGTGAAACTCAAATAATTTTATCGTACTGTGTTATTTATATAATACTTCAGCTGAATTTTAATTAAAATATAATATGTATGTAATTAAATGGAAAGAAATAATTCTGTTCAAACCAAAATATTATAATACAAGTCTGCAAATTTTATAAAGAAAATCAGATTCAGATGCTTGCATTCAAAAAGACAACTAACGGGTCAAACATGCTGTAAACTACAAGCGAACATGTTGGAGCTCTATACAAATAGTAAATGAAATCCAATCAGAAGCTCATTTGTTTCAAGATTTTGCAACTATGCATCAAAGTGTATTTAATATTCGTCATGCCGACCATTCACACATAACTGTTCATCTTGTTATTGTTTTTTGTCTCTTTTTTTAGTGTTATATGTCTCATTTGGTTGATTGTGGTAGATTGTATACAATGTGCCCATAATCGCTTATTTCCTGCCCGTCTCAGTGTGAGGCGGATCTGGAATGCAAAACACGAACTGGGCAGCTGACCGACCGTCTTCTTTCTGCCCCTTCCCATACTAGTTGGGATGAAACGATGGAAGTGAGGTTTTCCATTCATGAAATTACATACGCGTATTATTCAATTGATAGCGAGAGAGGGAGGCGAACAGAGGAATAGAGAGTAGCTGGCGCACGAAAGAGAGTATAAGGCGAGAGAGCGCCAAGGTTAATTTTATTTATCTGCTGCATGCGATGCGCGACGGCTTTTGACAGCTAAAAGAAAATAAGGTAAATGCAGGCGGAAGGAGCGAACCAGCTGGATGAAAAATGATTGGAGAATATTTTCTTGTATTCAGTGAAAAATAAAGACAGCTGCACTTAATTGTTGATTCTTGATTCATTTGTTTTTTTTTTTTTGCGTTTTTATAAATATGATTTAAGGCTGACACGCGTTTAGCGCATGCACACCCATACACTCACACACACAAACACAAATTACGTGGCGTGGGCGGCAAATCTACCACGCCTACTGCAAATAAGATACACACCTTCATAACGAGCTCAAAGGGATATTTGTAGACGCGCACAGGCGATTGGAATTTTTGCACCATTTTCTTGCTGTTTTTGTTGTTGTTGTTGGCACTCGACACTGGTTAAAAATCAATTTTTATTCTCTTTTCTATTGCACTTTTTATTCACACATACGCGCCAATTTTTCTATAATATTTGTATTTCAGTTGTAGTTTGTAACAGTTATGACAGTTGAATGTTTCAAATTTTGTATTCTCTTTCGTTGAAGTGTTTTGTCAAATTCGTTTCGTTTCTCTGCAGCCCCAGCGTTTGTTGTTGTGCGTGCAACTGCTGCAGCTGGCTGAAAAAGAAAGCCTTTCCTTTTTTGTGTACACTCCGCGAATGTTTGACTGCTTCTGTGCTAGCGATGTCGCAACTTATTGCGATATATCGATGAACACCTCATTTCATATATCGATCTGTTTGACGATGAATGCTGTTAAGTTTCAAATGTAACTGCTAGTTGGAGTATGTTTTTATTTGTGCGTTATATTTGAAAATCTACATTTAAGAAAAATTGTAACTATTGATATATAATTATGGAAACAGTATACAGCCGAGCATGCAACAAACGTATCTGTTGTACATACATCTTCACGTTTTCACTGCTCGTCCTCTTTTTCTATCACTTGATGTGGAATAATAGAAAAAGTATTATAGGACTTACGCGCCTGCAACAGGACGTCAACTGTATATCCGTAAATATATTAAATGATAGCTGTTGGAATGTCCACTAATATCTATTTATTATATTTTATCCGACAGCAAGCGCTCAAAGTGGATTGCTCGACAATGAAATTTGACAGCTTGCCATCAGAATCGGGTACTTGTAACCCAACTATGGATCTAAAGGGATCCATATCATGCGAATCGATCGAATTGAATAATTGTGTGGAAACAGTGGTAAAACGCAAGATTGGCAGCCTAATGGACGATGTATACAGTATCAAAAAAAGAATTGAACAATCCGCATGTAAGGAATCACTGGAAAGTGCAGCCGAGGCAAATAAACAAGAAATATATACACCTCGTATCAATTATGCTTCTGAGGAGCTGGGAGCTCGCATAATTTCCGCCCTAGCAAACCCAATTGCTGATACCAACTTGCTTAAGACGCTACTTGGCTTGGAATTCAGTACGAACCCGCCTATTAATATGCTGAGGCCAAGCTTAATGCCAGGATCGTGTTTCGGGTTTCGAGGCAGTCAGGCAACGATTTCACTACATCTAGCCAAAACTATCTACGTGGAGCAAATAAGTTTGACCCATGTTCCCAAAGAGATGACTCCGAGCAAGTGTGTTAATAATGCACCAAAAGATTTTGAAGTTTATGTATGATTATTATTATTTTTTTTTTTTTCTTTTTTCATTCTGTGTGGTAAGTATTATAACTTAGTTTTTTGTTTTTTTGTTTTTTGCTTTTAGGGTGTGACTTCGAATAAGAAAAAAGAGCTATTGGGCAAGTGGAGATTCAAAAATGAACCAAATGAACGTACAGAGAATTATATTGTCAATAATAATTGTCCGTTTCGTACATTGCTTTTCAAATTCAACTCAAATCATGGCGCCAATTCCACTTGCATATATCGGTAATTATTAACATTGGAGAGTGATATAATATTTCACATTGTAACATATATTTTCTACACAGCGTGGAAGTATTTGGCCAAGCATTAGGCGTGATTTAAAATGTCTTTGAAATAGTTGTAACAAACACTTTTTGTTAAATTGTTTTGAAGTTATTTAAACTGTTAATTATTTTATCATGTTAATTAAAAACTTTATATATCGTGAGTAACATTTTTTCCGATACTTAATTTGTAATTGGTAACGAGTACATGGGTTTATGTGTATTTTACATAAACTTCCATCTCTAAGGTGTAGGCTTAAAGTTAGACATGAGCGATAACGATTATCGTTTTGGTTTTGGCAAAGATAAAATTGAAATAAATAAGTTGAAACACGATGGCTTGTGGCGATTGAATCTAAATAACAATAACAATCTTGTGGCATGTAACTTAACACACAATTACAACAGCCTCGATGGCGATGAGCAGGCGAAGCTGCAAAGGACTATGGCAAAGGCGAAACAGAAACAGACAACAGCAGCAGCTGCCWCAGCAACAACAACAACAGCAGCAGCAGCAGCCGTAGCAACAGCGACGACAGCAACAACAACAGCAACAATAGCAACAACAATGCCAATACCAACAGCAGCAACAACAACAATGATAGGCGCTGTTGCTGTGACGCCCACTTGTGTCGCACACATAGAGGACGAGGGCGGAGGGGAAGGATGCGACGGCGCTGCAGCTGACGACGATGACGGCGACTGCGCTGCAGCTGGCGCAGGCCTAGTCACCAGTGATAAGGCAAGTGTTGTTGTTGTTGATTTGATTTTTTCTTCGTTTGTATTATAGTTTTCTTTATTGTTGTTGGCGTTGCCATTGTTTTGTTATTTTTGTATTCATTGGGATTTTCACTGCAGCTTAATGGCATCAGCATTGGCGCTGCCTACAGTCTGATTCAGCTGCCAGCGTTGAATTGCGATTTGGCAGCCGCAGCTGTGGCGGCTGCTGCTGCTGCTGCCTCCGCACTCTCGCCCACCGATGCGGCAATTGGTGGCCTCAGCTCCAGTCGCACCTCCATGAATAACTCCACGGAGAATCTGAGCTATGCCAGTGACAATTATTATGCCGACGATCTCATACTGCTCGATGACGACGACGATGACGAGGATGACGATGTGGAGGCCGAGGAGATATCGCTCAATTCGGATGACTGTGTCTATGCGTATCGCGGTGATGCCGCTGATTTCGACATGGCAGCGCTCGACGCTAGCACTGGACGTGGTGGACGCAATTTGGACTTTGGTCTAGTGCGGGATGATGAAACGGACTTCCTTGAAATGGACTTTGAGCCAGATCCCTCGTCGGAGCTGGAATTTGTGGCCAGTGCACAGGAGGCGGCGGCGGCCGCTGCAGGCCATGCGAATCTGCTGCTCATGCAACGCGATTACAGTCAGCTACAGAGCGGCCGGCACATGGCCACGCCCACTCAGCCAAGGCAGCTCTACAGCTCGCCCATCGAGGAGTTGGCACTGCCAGCACCACAGGAAGCACTGCAGCGTTTGAGCAAGAAATTCGCACGCATTAGCCTGAACTTGGATCAGATTAAGACCGATGCTGATGTTGGCTCTGATGTGGATGCCGATGAGCTGCTCTGCGGCGCCAAGGACGATGAGCAGGACTTTGTGGATGCCACCACAGCGGATGCCAATGCACTGGCCCACTCGCTGCCCAGCACACTCGCCTACAGCAGCTTCAATCGCAGCACCAGCGTGCCCAGCGAACCGACTCATGCGGCCGAAGAGACCTGCAACTCGAAGCTGACGGGCGCCAAGCCCAAGCGTCTAAACACACTCTCCAACTCCTCATCCCTTGTGTCCGCCTCGAAGAGTAGCACTTCCGCGTCCAAGTCGCGTCGCTCGCAGCCCAGCTACGATGAGCGTTGCTTCAGCTGCACCGATTTTCGTGCCGTGTCGCAGCAACAGCACCATCAGCATCAGCTCCAGCTGCAGCTGCAGCAACAGCAACAGCAGCAGGAGGATGTGGCACCCATGCTGGTGGCAGCGGCAGCTGTGGTCGCTGCCAGCGCTGCGATGGCCAGCAGCAATTCGACGAAATTTGATTTGGGCAGCGGCGAGGAGACGTGCCTCGACTGTCTCGAGAAGGAGTTTCTGGCCAATACGATTGGCAAAGCGATCGACCTGAGCAGCTGTGCCAAGTGTCGGCGACGCGTCGGCGGGCGTGGCAGCAGCCTCTCGCTCTACACACGCGCCGAACAGACGCGCTGCCGCAGCGGCTCGCCGGGCTATTTTGATGAGTTTGGCGGCCTCTTCAGCTGGCACAATACGGCCGGCGACATGGGTCTATACAACCAAAGGTTTATTTCGTGTGATAATAATTTTGGCGGCAGGCAGGTGAGTGAAATGGATTATTAAAATGAAAACAAATTATTCCAAATATAGAATATTTGAAGAGTTGAAATTCTATAGGAATAGTCTGTTAAAGGGAAAGTCGCTTGAATTTGCCTCAGACAAGATCTAAACCATAGATGATCTAAATCATGGTCTGAGTTTCATTTATCATTTGTGTTAAAAATGAGAACAGCCTCAAGTAAATTATAATTGTTTTGATCTTAGGACGAACATGGTTGGAACAGAAAATGTTGATGGTCTCTAGCCCGAACTAAAATCTGAATACATCCTTCATTATATAACAATATTGCCTTACAGCTTCCATAAAATTCCGCACATATTCTATCTAATGTAGTCTCAAGATTTTATTGAACCACCCACATTAAATCAATATCCAAACTAATAACTTAATACTTCCTTCGCCCAATCCGCCTAAGATCTTTAATGTCCTATCCGGTCTCTAGATATTATTGGAATACTCATACTAAAAATTTCGCATTCTCCCTCTTTCCATGAACTCCCCAACTGCAGCAGCTGCTCAAGCAAAGCTTTTCGACTGAACCGCTGGTGGCGCGCCTGTCCACGGCGCATCTGAGTGAGGAGCATCTGGTGCAGGCGCTGGACAAACTTCACATTTCCTACAACGCATCTCTGTTGCATGCCTATTTCGAGCGGCTGGCAGCGCCCTCGCCGCCGGCTCGCGGCAATCTGAAGCAGCTGCTGTTGCATGTCTCCAAACAGCAATGCAATCATCGCAAGCTCAAGAAGCTGATCGAGCTCATTGTGCAGCAGCAGCCGCAGCCGCAGCAACAGCAGCTCAGCGTGCAATTCAAGCGGGTAAGTGAGTGATGGAGGCAGTTAAATTATAGACTAGTATATATATGTATATGTATATTAATGATATGTTCTTGTTCACAGACTAACGCTGGCCATGCTGCCCTGGTGGCCGTCAAGGTGACGGACATATTGGCCGCCTGGCAACGTCATCGAGATCTCTTTGTGCTGCGGCAATTGGATGCACGCTTTCATCGCGCCAATGTGCTGGGTAAGCACTTGTGCCATAATAGAAACACTTGAATATAAATTTAAATGAGTTACATGATTTGCAGGCAAAATTGGGCACATTGTGCGGCAAGCGCAGCAGCAACAACAGCCGGCAGCAACCACATCCGCATCGGCATCGGCAGCGGCTTCAACTTCAATCTCATCCATGCGGCAAGCGCTGCCCGAGTTTCTAATGATACCACAATATTATGCTTGTGGTGAATTAACATTGACGCGCAAATGTTGAAACCCGCCCAATGCACACACACACACACACACCTACAAACAGCCACATTACATGTTTATGCGTGGCTGCATTTTATTCATTTTCGTTTCCAAAATCGAGATTCTGCAAATGCAATGCTCCAAGTTTATTATCTACGATCTGTAGCCGGATTAAAATATTGTTCATAATATTTAAGCAGATGACATGCAAGCTAATCACATACATACAAATCAAATTTTAAATGTATTCACTCATGTTCAGTATTTGTTTAAGCTTTATTCACTATGTTTAAGCCCAAAGCATTAACTCATTTAGTTGTTAAAATTATATTATGATTTCCTATATACACATGTATATTTTATGTCTACTATATTTTGTTTTTCGAATCACTGCATCTAGTCTCGATACACAAAAGAAAACAAAAATGAAATTCATATAGAATTTAAGTTAATTTTAATTTACATCAAAATGAATTATGTCATCCGCTTGAATAGTTTAAGCCATGTTAACCGTTTAGCTGCCGGCTCAGATCTGTCTTTCTTGTATTCTAATTGCATTTGTTAGCCAATGCTGCCTGTTGCTAACAAAGCTTCAATGTTTTATTGGCAGCCACGCATAAACGTTTGCAATATTTGTGAAAGCTGCTGCTGTTCAGGGGCGGGGCGAAAGTGGGCGGTTTGGTGAGTTGTTGGCAAAAAACCGAAATAATTAAGAACAAAAGTTAGACGCGTCTTTATGTATGTGTTATAACGTAAATCACAATAACCGTTAATCAATTTGCAATATTTATATAAAAAGAAAAACAAAAAAAAAACAATACCATATATCTAAATATGTTTATGTATATACTTATGTGTGTGTGTACATGTCACGCCCACTAACGTATATCATAATATAAATTATATACATATATGTATTTATTTATATTATAACTTAATAAATGTGTAGCGTATATATAGCTTAGCTTATATACTAATTATAAAATAAACTGTAAGTAGTCAAGTAAAACATACGCACATACATACATAAATACACGTACACACCAAAGTTTATACGCTGCACTGGACGTGATTTATAAATTGATTTGAATCGAATATTTACTGTTCAAGGATATTATGCTTTAAGAAGAGACTCATTAAATCACATTTTAGTTGCAATCATAAGTTTATACGCTGCACTAAATGTGATTTACAAATGAATTGATAGAGCATATATATATGGATGCTCAATGTTCTTAAGTGTGCAACTGAATGTGATTTACATAAATAAAAAATTGTGAATCATGTTTTAGTTACTCTGAAATCACGTTTAGTGCAGCGCATAAACGTTGATTCTGTATGTGTTTGTCAAGTTTACACGTGTGAAATTCAAACGTCACAAACACATAAATAGTCAAGGTTTATACGCTGCACTAAACATGATTTACAAATTTATTGTCAGAGCATATATATATATA